GCAATGTGTTCATTGTCAAACTCCAAAATCAGATTATTTTTAATTCTTAAAAAACGCCATTATTTTATTTAAAAAAAAAATATATATATATATATATACATATATATATATAAATATTAACAAAATATTTTAGTTTGCCTTGTATATTTTTTTCATTCGATAAGATTTTAAGCTGTCATATGGTCAAGTTACAACGTGCCCCTTAGATGTTACAATGTGTTCCACCTACGGGGCATGTTGTCACATTCCACTTCCATTTTTTGAGGGTAAATAAAGAAAAACATATACACTGTAATTATGAAACAAAGCGACATATTCGTACTAGACAAGTGTAAAATTTTTAATGCTTTGATTACTAGCAGAAGACACTAACCAGTTTTAAATTCCAGTTGCGCAGATGGGGCACGTTGTAACACTGCATTACAATGTGCTATTCTATGACATTAGCGATGTAATTTACACTATTTACTTTAATTCATTTTAATGAGAAACAACGAGAAACAGGTGAATAATGACTGACAGTCAACGTTTAATGTTTAGAAATTATTATTTCAAGACATATAAAGCATTTTTTGCTCGTTTATGTGAGCCGTTCCAAGCATGGTTGCAATGTGTTCATTGTCAAACTCCAAAATCAGATCATTTTTAATTCTTAAAAAACGCCATTATTTTATTTAAACAAAAAATCTTGAATGCCCCCCTCCGCGCGTCGGTAGCCCCCCGGGATCGCTAGATCGGTCGGCGCCGGACCGCGAATTTAACCACCCATAACTCCCGAACCCCGGGGGCTATCGACACGGCGGTGGTCTCATTCGAAAGAGGGCCTCAAGACGTGTACACGATTCGAGTTCGAGAGGGTTCCTCGAGCTGAAGAGATCCCCCGAATTTAGTGCGGATTCGCAGCGCCGTTACGGAGATATGGCCGTTCAAAGTTTCAATGGTTTTCCATAGACTTAAGCTTTAAAACCTTTCATCCAGGTCGCCAGTAGCAAACAATGGAGCCGCGCTCTGCTGGACAAACTAAGTAATTACACCATTTCAAGCATTTTATCTGCATTATATGTTCTGTAAAAAAAAAAATCATATCGGCGGCATATTCGCCGATACCGATATATCGATGACAGGTTCATATCGGCAAAACGATATATCGGTCGGGCTCTAACTAAAATCAAGCATGTGTAATGTAATCCATCATTTCAAGTGCAGTAATTTCATCCTGAACCTTGTGGATTGGTATTATCATACTGTAAGCAAGTGAACATAAGCCATATTAATCAGTATAGAAACACTGATGGTCACTCACGACATGCGGTGGGCGTAGCCGTCCACATCAGTTCCTGTTGTCGTGACCGTCTGCCCTGACAGTCTACGTACACACCGATACTGCTGAAGCACAAGAGTTGCTCTTTACTGGAGATCTCCACGGCGCAGAGAGCGTCCAGGCTCAGCTGCTCGATGAAGGCCAGGGTGTGATCGTCAGGGTGGAGGAGGTAAGAGGTAGTTCCATCCCCCTGAAGATCATAGTGCAGGAACCCGGACTGGAAGCCCACGCAGAGCTTGTCGCCCTGGAGACCCATCCACTGCACAGATCCCGGGACGAAGATATCCCGCAGTTTCCGATGGCGTGTTTTGCTCTTGTTGAGCTCGTAGATCATCACCTTGTCAGGTTTTTTCATGGACACAAAGAGGTACGTGAGAGATCCTTGTCTGATCGTGCCCGAAACCAGAGTTTGGCAGCCTTTGGTCTCCGCTATCTTGTGAAAATCGGCCTCACGGTCATCCAGGGCCGCCATTGGGTAAAGCCGTACATGGCCGTTTCGGCCCGATATCACAGCGATCAACTGTTCGGATGGGATCAACTGAATCTGATGGACTTTCTTATTGTCTCCTACCTTGATAATCTCTGTGAATAAAAACATATAAACAGTAAGTGGCTTTGTATTAACATCAAAGAATGCAGTAAGTCACCTATATATACAGTATAAATGCAGCAGATAAGTACAGTAAACACAGATAAAGCTTATAATTACACTTACCATCTTTGGTAACATGAATAACGTACAACCCCTCCTCATTGCCCAGGGCTATCCTCTCATGATCTGCGGATAAATAGAAACGTAGTTAAAATAAACAGAAAGCAAAGTTTGATAAAGCTAGGATTGAAATTGACTAGTGCAGACTAGTTTGTAAATTGTTATTTTTTTAAAAGAGGATTTTTCTTACTATTTTGAAATTCTAACATTCAATGTATTAACATGTATCATGTAATTAATAAAAACAATTCAGACTACCTTTATATATTATTATTTTTATTCATTACCTAATGCCAAAACTGAGCTAACAGAAAATTCCTCATCCCTGAAACCAAAAGAGAGCGATTTAGCTGTCATGCAAACACAGAAATCAGAATCAAACATAGGCTCAGATGTTTGTTTTGAAGCCCTCACTAACCTCATATCAATGACCTGGTTCACTATGACACCAGGCTGAGCAGCTTTGCCCTCTGGGAGATCATATAAGAAGAGCTTGAAGTCACAGACTACAGCAATGGCCCTCTGCCATCCCTTCTTCACACCTAATGGTTTGGGTACCTAAACGAAAAGATCTCAGAATTAGTTTTCAACTAATTGGGAACTCCTAATATATATCCAATACAACAGTATTATCTTTCACTGTTTTTTTTATTATAGGATGAAGTTATACCTTTCCAACTTATGTCTGGCACATTTTGCAGGCTAAATTTGTATCTGATAATTGTTCATTATGATCACAAAACTTTCATGGGTATTTAAAATGAAGCTTCTAACCTTGACATGGCCCTCATAAGCTGTGCCGATGCCCTTCTGTGGGTCGATACCCAGCGGTCCTTTGGCTTGATCCGGTGGGATAGGACACACGGCAGGAGCTTTGTCCGCACACGTCACGTGACAGGAGAAGTTACAGACTGTAGGAGGAGGAGAACAAGGTGAATGCCGATCTTAACGCTATTTACCATAAACTCAGCCGCTGCTGTAGTGACATCTCACCTTCACACGTACAGCCCTGTCGGATAATTCCCACCATTAGAGACGTACACTGGTTACATTTAGTGGGCGCATTGAAAGTCTTCACCACGAACTGATGGGCTTTTGGCTAAACAGAGAAATTTAGAACACTATAAATTACAGCGTATCACAGAATATAAGATTTGGCTGATATGAAAGTAGCTAGAATCGTAAAAAAAAAGGTTCTTTATTGGCATTGATGGTTCTATGAAGAACCTTTAACATTCATAGAACTTTTCCAATGCACAAAAGGTTCTTTACAGTGCATCTTTAGATTATTAAAATGTTCACTGTAAGGTTATTTGGAGAACCCAAATTGCTGGTTCTATGGTATCTCAGAAAGAAAAAAAAAACGAATCGATCCTTTATTTCTAAGAGTGTAGGAGCAAAATAAACAAGTGAATGAATTACTTTAGGTGTGCTGTGACCAGAGCTACTGTATCCAGACCTCATGGGAGTTTGTGCACCTCGTTGTGGCTGATCTACCTGCTGGGAAAACAGTCACGGATATTAGTCACAACATGCTACCATTCTTAAAGTCTCTACCTGAATGAACGAATGAATGAATGAAGCTCCGTTCTAAAACCTACTGATCTGCCCATCTAGACAGCCTTATAAGGCATCATAGGCATGATTTTAGCTACACAGTAAGATGGCATCCCATGCATTTATTGTTGAAAAGGCAATCCCAGAATGCACCTCGACAAGCAAAGTGTTAAGTTTCATCCACAATGGCAGTGGAATATACTAAGTTTCTAAGTCAGTAAGTTTCAAAACAGTCTCAGCATTGCTAAAGGGGGTCAGAATTAGAGAAGTCACCTCTTGAGACTCCATATCACTTGTGGTGGAGGGTGAGCGAGAGTGGGAGGTGACCTGGGATCTTCCATCTTCCTCCCGGGAAGGTGTGTTGGACAGGCTGAAGTTATCGATGGAGTCGATCTATTGAGAAGGTTAGAGAAAGGAAATGCTTAGAGAACCGATCCAACCATACCACAAACCCATGAGCAGCAGATGGAAAACACAAGACATGCCTGCTAAACGTAACACAACAGGCTGTTTGAAAACACATCATGCACATTAGCAGCAATTTGACAGGACAAAGGTTTAAAAACATTTCCCAAGCCCAAACACCATGTCAATGATGGAACAAGAGCCAATAGCAAAGCATAAATAATCAGAAAGGAAATCTGAAACACTGCTGAACACAAACGCCACACGTCTTCTTCACAACAAGATTCACAAGTTTTAGAAACAGCAAATGTGAGTTAGAACTAGAAGTGGAATCATCGGTTGTGGTATGGAATAAAACCTCCATTGGTAGTGCAAGATGAATAAAACAAAATATTGCATATGTATTAGCCACAGAAAGTGACAGTTTGTAGTCCAAATTAGTGGTCGACCGATATGGGTTTTTTAATAGCCGATACCGATATCTTGGAAAGCAGGATGTCCGATATAATTTTATTCATTTTCATTTATATTTAAGAAATTTTAAATCATTTGAAAATGGATTAAAAATAATTGTGTAAAATAAACATGCTTATACTTTAGAAGACAAAGCATTTTTCACAAATAAATGAATATTTAATAAAAATCTAATTATAAAGGAAGTAAACACTGTAACCAACAGGGCACTCAGTATTCTGGGAAGTTTGTGTGCATTTGAAATCTTTTTATTTTTTTTCCCCAAATAAAGCCACGGTAACACTCATTTTACATACAGCATGCAATGAAAATGACATTAATATGACAGCGGGCAAATGCATAAAGCGCAGCATAATTTGAAATTACTAGTTTAAAGTTTGTCGATTGCGCGTTTCCAGTCAAGCAGAACTCTCCTCCTGTCAGCATTCAATTTGCACAGACCGACCGTCACCCAGAGAACACGCGATCATGCAGGATACAAATGCACACTTCAACTAGATTCGACTAAGTCTGCAAGGCTTGTGAAATTAAATGTTCATTAGTCATTCAAAGATTTGTTTAAATTATATACTGTAAATTCATATTTGCCGAATACTGATGGCAAATGAGAAAGTATTATAATGTTTGCCTTTCTATTACTAATAACATTAAAGCAATCATTATAATACTTTTTGTATACATTTTAATTCAATTGTTTAACAGATCTATCTGATTATTAGATAGACTTCTATCCATATTAGACAGAACTGAACGACGGCACTGCTCACATTCTCCCTCTTGTTCGCTACAAGAGGGAGAATGTGAGCAGTGTGCGCTCAGGCGCTGGCAATCACTCAGCGCAGTCAATATAAAAGTCCATCGCGTCGTCAAAATTAAAGTCCCGCCTCAAACACATCGGCCAACCAGAAAAACTTAACGGCCGATGCCGATATTTGATAAAAACGTGCCAAATATCGGCCGATATATCAGTCAACCACTAGTCCAAATGTGTAGGATGAAGACAAACCGAGCTGAAATGGACCCTGAATGTGACAAACAAGCATGTGTACTTGAAAAACCCCCTGGGAAATAGGGGTATGTCACTTATGCCATGCAGTAACACCGCAGACATGCATCAAAGTCACTCAGTCCAATCATTGTAGAGTTGAACCACTTCACCAAATACACAAAAGGAGCTTACACGTCTGCCTTTGCCGGCCGGCCCACAGGCAGTGGAGCGCTTCATCACAGACAAAAACAGACAGATAAGAGGAGAGAAAGAAATAAAAAGAGAGCCAACAATATATGAACACAGAGAACAGGATTCACACACACACAAGCTCACTTGCTTTTAAAATGACCGTCTCAAAAGCCCAGAAGTAATAATCGAGAATGTGTTTCAGCCAGTTATTTAATCCACACTAAATAATTTAAAGAGAATATGAGAGGAAATAGAAATATCAATAAAAGCAAATTTCCTTGAATAACAAATGAAAAAGCAGACAGAACAAATTAATGTTACAAAGTCAGTCAGCTGCGATCCTAAACTAAAGCCACATGCAAGTGCTTTAAATACCTACATCAAACTGATCCAGGGCCGAGGTCGGAGCATTGAGGAATGCCAAGAAGGAATTCTGGGAGTCTTGGTGCTTGACCCCTGAAAAACATAACATGACTTAGATGTTACATACGAGCATACACCGTCTTAACAATATCAGGCCTGTCACTAAAATTTTGCCCGATTGATTTCAAATGTTTGTGTTTTTACCTTTGGATGTGCGCAGACTCTCAGTTTCCTGTTTCAGCCTCCTGACTTCCCAGTAAAACATTGGCACGGTGGACCATCTCTTCAGCTCAACGGACTCATGGAAAGACCGAAACATTTTAGTCCGCAAATGACAACGGCATGTTTTCTTTCTTTCACAACTGAGTGTTGCCCTCCAAGGGTTCTTCTCTAAACATCTCTAGCTTTGCCGTCAGGCTCGCTGAGAGCTAAGAACCGCTACACGCACACAAGCCTTTCTTTTAACCACTCTGTGTGCTTTACACTCCGTTTGAAGCGCTCAGTAACGATACCCAGAATTAATTCCTGGTTTTAACAAAGAGCATCAACTCTGACCGCTAAGACGTGAAGCCTCCTGTCATCTTTAGTGAAATGACCACATCAAAAGCGATGCGGAATCTGTGACTTCAGGCTTCAGTAATATGAGAGATGGAGTTTGTGGTTTCAGGGTTGTGGGTCGATGTGTGGGGTGGTGAGTTAATGTTACACAGCATCCTGGAGCTACAGTAGTGTCATAGTATCCAAGCCTAAAAATACTGGTGCGCCACAAAATGGTAGTACAATTTTACAATATTCAGTGCTGTAAGTATAGTATCTACAATTGTTTGCACACCAAAAGCTTCATTTAAAACTAGGCTATGTCTGAAGTAATCTAAAACAATATAGGAACAGGATGACAAATACGTGAGAATTTATAATTGACTGTAATTTGAGAAGACTTATGATGACAACACTTATCACACACTATAAGAAACATCCAAACATGAATAAAACTGAGAAATTTCAGCTGGTTTAATAGAGTGTGATATGATTTAAACCAAAGTGAAATGCAGCTTTTAACCTATTCCACTTTTATATGATGTTTGAAACAGAATATTTAGTGAAAACATTTTTATGCCTTTCTTTTAACCACTCTGTGTGCTTTACACTCCGTTTGAAGCGCTCAGTAACGATACCCAGAATTAATTCCTGGTTTTAACAAAGAGCATCAACTCTGACCGCTAAGACGTGAAGCCTCCTGTCATCTTTAGTGAAATGACCACATCAAAAGCGATGCGGAATCTGTGACTTCAGGCTTCAGTAATATGAGAGATGGAGTTTGTGGTTTCAGGGTTGTGGGTCGATGTGTGGGGTGGTGAGTTAATGTTACAAAGCATCCTGGAGCTACAGTAGTGTCATAGTATCCAAGCCTAAAAATACTGGTGCGCCACAATGGTAGTACAATTTTACAATATCCAGTGCTGCAAGTATAGTATCTACAATTGTTTGCACACCAAAAGCTTCATTTAAAACTAGGCTATGTCTGAAGTAATCTAAAACAATATAGGAACAGGATGACAAATACGTGAGAATTTATAATTGACTGTAATTTGAGAAGACTTAAGATGACAATACTCATCACACACTATAAGAAACATCCAAACATGAATAGCACTGAGAAACTTCAGCTGGTTTAATAGTGTGATATGATTTAAACCAAAGTGAAATGCAGCTTTTAACCTATTCCACTTTTATATGATGTTTGAAACAGAATATTTAGTGAAAACATTTTTAGATTATAAAGCAAAATAATACATGGTGGTATTAAAAGAAACAGCTAAAATAAAGCGTAATCTCTTGTAGTAAGATCAGTACCTCTCTCGGCGGGTCTTCTCCAGCTTGTCTTTGAGCATCATGATTTCTTTCTTTAAGGTGAGCTGCTGTCCCTCTGACTCCCGCAGCTCCTTCTTCAGGTTCTTCAGTTCGTTGGCATGTTGTTGTTCTCTGCATGACAGCTCTTCCTCATAGGAAGCGATCTTGTTCTCCAGGTCTGCTCGTAATTTACTGAGCTCCTTGTGCTGCTCAGATGACCCAACGCTTGGAGAGCGGCCCACCTGCTTCTTCTGCTCCACGACACAGGGAAAGAAAAGATAAGGAAATTATCAGCGACCTTTATAGAGCTTATTTCAAGTTACATGAAAGTAATAATAAAATAGCTTACTAATGAATGAAAATAATGTATGAACTATAATAAAAATAATATAGTAAAATGAATAATCAATAAAAAAATATTAATATTAATTAAAGGTACATAATGTATGAATTATAATAAAATCATGCTTTAAAATTTGTAAAACAAAAATAATTAAATAATTAAAATAATGTATTAATCTTTATAATGTATAAAAAAAAATTATTAATAAAACTAATTAAATACTTATATTTAAATAACTTATGAAGTATAATAAAATAATGTATTCAAAAACAATTAAATTAATTAAACATTTATTAATTACAAAATTATATTTAAATAATTGATGAATAATAGTGTATTAAAATGAATAAAACAATCAATAAAAACACTTGAATTATTACATTTCAATAATTATAATATGATAATATATTAAAAAGAATGCAAATAACTAATAAAACTACTAATTAATTATATAATTAAATTAAAAATATATATTAATTACAATTAGTGCTGTTGAATGATTAATCACATCCAAACTAAAGTTTGTTTACATAATATGTGTGTGTACTGTGTATATTTACATGTATATATAAATACACACACGTACATTTAAGAATTATATGTAAAATATATTTATATATAAACATGAATATCTATACATGTAAACATTTCCTAAATGTATATATAAATACACACACATTAGTGTATATTTTAAATATACACAGTACACACACATGTAATATGTAAAGAGAAACATTTATTTTGGATGCGATTAATCGCAATTAATCGATTTGACAGCACTAAATAATTTTACACACTTTCATACTGACCTGTGATTATGACTTAATTTATTAAACATTTGAGTCTTATTATATTGCGGTTGTTGCCATTTAATAAAAGCAAGCCAACAAACGTCACATGCTACTCTTATGCAAATTTCCCATGCTTGAAGGGTTGCACTGTTCCTAAAACCCCCTTAACATTATTTTGAGAGAAAAAGAGTGTTTGGATACACAAACCTTCATTCCCTCCAGCTCCTCTTCCAGCTGTCTGCTGTACTGCTCACTGCGTTCCCTCAGCTTCTTCTCTTTCTGAGTCTCAGCAGAAAACTCTTCAGCCTGGGCCTCCATCTACACACACAGACACAGAGTTTGCACATATGTAATGTATGAGCCCACTGAACAGACTCCTGCGATCAGCCATTCTCCTCCACACTAACCTCTTTCTTGGCCCGCTCAGATTTGCGCACTTCTATCCGCAGCGCCTCCACCTTCTGATTGAGAGAATCCATCTCCTCTTCTTTGTCCCGGAGCTGTCGGGAGAGCCGTTGCTTGTATGACCGCAGCTCTGTCACCTTCTCGCTCACCTCGGCAAACTCCTGCATGGCCATTTTCCTCTGGCTGTCCGCCTCCTTCAGCTCCTTCCCCTGAGTCTTCAGCTTCTCTGAGGACTCCTGCAGACTCTGCAGACAAACGTAACACAAAGTTGAAACAAAAGATAAATAAAATCTATTTATCAATTAAATAATTACATTTAAATTACTTATTAATTGTACATTATCAGAATACAAATTTAATGAAATAAAAAATAAAAACCTATTTTAAATGAAATTTAAATAATTTATAAATAATTACTTCATACACCTTCATACTGACTTGTGATTATTACAGACAACCTACTTATTTATTGAACATTTGAGTCTTACTATATTGTGGTTGTTGTTGTTGTTTAATAATTATATAATTTTTAATAATAATATAGAATTCATTTATTTTAATACTTTTTATTATAATAATTTTTTATGATTATTATTAGTAGTAGCAGTAGCAGTAGTAGCAAATACATTATTATTAGTAAATGCACAATTAAAATAATTAAATTAAAAACATTTAAATTAAAAAAACATTACTATTGTAACATATCACTGTAAAATAAAAAAAATGCATTTAAGAAAAATAATAAAACAGTAATATTATTTTAATTTACATTACAATTGTAAAATTACAATACTAATATTTATGGCTCTCATAATTTCTTTACTTTCAAACATTAAACTATCAAACGTTTATTTTGACGAAAAAATAACTTCACTTATTCACTTAATAATTAAATTATACACTTTTTCGTTGATAAGCACTTCTCAGTACAAATATGGGAAGATGGTTTGCACATGATGCGTTCCCAAATCCCTTATTAAACAATCAGAGTGCATATATTTATTTCATTAAATTGCAGCCATTGTGATTTGATAATCACACTAAGCCATGATGCAATTTAGGCTTTTGATTAATTGTGCCTTTTCAAACAAATCTATGCAGCAAGGCACTTTGCTAGTGAGAGGAATTGCTTGTGTGAAGCTGCAGTTTCTTCTGTACCTTCTGCAGGTCATCTCTCTCCTGCTTCATGCTCTTGAGCTGTTTCTCCAGACACCGGATCTGTTTGGAGGAGTCGTCCAGATCCCTGCGGGCAGAACTGGCCTGTTCTAACTGCTGCTCCACCTGTCCTGTATCTGAAAGGGGAGAAAAGGAGGAGAGAGACTAGAAAAAAATAAACTTGAAGCACAAACAATAATGTGAGGAAGTAAAAATATAGTGTAATTTTTTTTTCATTTGAAACACAACTGCAAACGTCATGTAAAAAACAACATTCGTAACAAGTCTGGTTACATGAGACAATTGCATGATGCATGTTTATATGTAGCGATTGAGATTACCAGCGATCTGTTTCTTCAGCATTTCTATCTCCTCCTTCAGTCCACGGATCTCAAACTCTCTGCTGGAGGAAACAGGCCCGTCCCCGCTGGAGTATTGCAGCGCCTGAACCGTTTTTGTGGACTCTGAAGGCCAGAAGACATTTTAGCTGTCAGCCAGGCAGAGAATTCATTTTTGGGGATTGTCACTCGACATGTAAGACGGAGAGACACCTTGTAGTTTGCGACTGAGCTCCAGCTTCTCCTGCTCCAGACGGTGGATCCTCCGCTCGTACGCCTCAGTAGCCAGACTGTCTTCCAGGCCACGCTGCACGGACACATCCATTTGCGCAGGTGCCGCAGACTCCCGCAAGCAACCACGGTCAGACAGCGTACTGTAGGAGAAAACACGGTCAAATGATCACAATAAAGACTCATAAGGCTGTTTTTTGTTTTAACCATTCCATGTTAAAATACTGAGAACAACTTTTGTGTTATGGGTCAAATTGACCTATATTGGTGTCCAAATTGACAAAATGAAAAACACTAAAGATTCATGCTAAGACGAGAAAAAATCTACTGCAGCTTGTCAGAGAATAAAAATATAAAATATTTGAGAAATTAAATAATTCAATTTGACACACGTATTTTCTTAAACTTTTTTTCAATGCAGTAATCCAGTAATTGAGATGCAGAAAAATAGCAACCTAAAACAGCCCTCAACAGATAGACAGAAACTCAACTAGATAAAGAAACAGTCAATTTTCCTTTGATGATTAAGACGACAAGTCTTCCACGTGTCCTTCCAGTTTTCATTTTCTCACGTATTTCATATTTTAGTGTTTGATAAGCTCTTCTGTTTTTCAAAATGTTTTTGGCAGCGGAGGATCAATTTGACAAAATTTGTACAGTCTTTCCAATAGTGATCTATGTGTCGATAAGTAGTGAAATAAATAGTTTAACCAGTGTTTCAAGCAGATTGAATATCAAATGTGGGTCATACTGACCTGAACACAGCAGGAGGGTTAAACAGAGAGGGAATTTGAAACTAAACCTCATGCAAGATCATCTCAGTTGAGTTTTACAGTGATATCTTACCAGCTGCTGGTGTAGGTGAAACCTACAAATGGGAGATGGTGTCCTGAGAAGGCGGTGTGGGAAGGAGGCGGCATTGTCTCCTAAAACAGAGCAGGGATCGTAAATTGCAGCTGTAGCATTTTGGTACAATCTGGGTTGATACACCAAAGGTTGTGGGTTCAAACCCAGCAATGAGTGATCTTATTATGGTATGTCAAAAACTCTACCGTGTTCTTGAGGCAGTCGTCATCCACATCAAAATTTGATGTGTCAGATGGGCTGCTGACTTCAGGGATGTAGGGGGCGTCGCATTTGAGGATGTTCTGCCAGTCAATGCCGGAAAAGAAAGGGTGCTGTTTGAAGTCCTCAATGCCGTTCTGACCCAGCCTGTGCTCTCTGCAGCAGATGAGTCTACGGATCAGGTCTTTGGCATTTTCAGAAACGTCTGTCACATGAGCAGGAAACTGGAACCGCTCCTGCGGGAAACACAAGGTAAAAACACAAAACCACTTTAAAAAACAAAATTAAAAAACGACACACATTATTAGGTTTTCATGACACTTCATGACATTTTCAATATAATTTTTAAAAAATTATATCGCTAATGACCTATAGTACTTGACTGAAAAATTGCTTGTTGTGTGTTAAAGGGGTCATATGATGTTGCTAAAAAGAACGCTTTTTTTAAAATACGGTTTAAGTTTCAAAAAACATTCTTTTCCACATACTGTACATTATTGTTTCTCCTCTGTCAGGGTTCTGTCACTTCGGTCTAGTGTAATTCATAGTTTTGTGACAGAATTGTAATATTGATTCTGCTACAGTTAATTCGAAGATATAATCTAAATATTTATTATGAATCATAACCAGTTATAATTCGTCATAAATATTCCCCTTTTTAGAGCTAATAAATAATAAAAACCCTTACAGGACACTCGCGCTCCATGTTCTGTCAGTTGTGGGAGCGCTCTTCTGTCCACGTGTGTTGTTTTGTGTAGCACGCGGTTTGTGTTCAGCCGCGTGCTTTTCTTGATGTCTTGTGTGAACATGCGGCTTATGAGTTTTCTCATTAGCTGCGTGTTCGTGTCTTTTGTTCTAGCACATGGCTTGTGATTTGTTTTGCTGGCCATGTGCTTGTGTTTTGTTTTGTGTGAGCACATGGCTTTTTGTCTTTGATTCAGTGTGCCATGTGCTCATGTCAATTGTCTTGACCCCTCCCATCTTGTTACCTGATTATTAGTTAATTTGCCCCACATGTGGTCCCTCGGTACCCTCCTCATTTGCTCTCCATTTATTCTCCTTGTGTTTGCAGTCTTGCTTCAGTTCGTCGTCGTCTCTCCCTGGATGTGTCGTGTCGTGTCCAGATCCTGCCTTGCCTTGCCTTGCCAGTCTATTTTTCCCCCACGGGGTAGTTTTTGTTGCTGTTTTGTTTATTTTTATTATCAATAAAGCCCATTCTCTGCAGTACGGAGTCCTCGCTCCATCCTCTACCCCAGACCCTGACACTCCTCTATGCCCCGCCTTTCTGAAACACGTCGATTTTTACAAAGCTCATCGGTCTGAAAAGCGAGGTGTGCTCTGATTGGCCAGCTATCCAGTGCATTGTGATTGGCTGAATACCTCAAGCGTGTGACAGAAATGTTACACCCCTTACCATACTGTGTTTCCATCATACAGTCTATGGTTTCCATGTGTCCGGCGCGATGAGACAAAACCCATTATAAATGAGGCATTTGTTGCATCCAGTGGGGACATAATTACTGATTGTAATGACTTATACTGTGTTTTTATGCTTTGTGTTGCATATTGCGCCGCGTAAACAAAAAACCATGTCTGCATTTGTGATTGGAGAAATGACAAACAATAAGCGCTACTCTACACTGCTCAAACTCGCGTTGGAATAATCAGTGGCAAATTCTTTAAATATAAAAAACGTACTTATAGTCTGTGAGTCAGAAGCGCCAGACTGTCCTTGCAAAGTTGGAACTGCCCCACTTTATAGAAACATTATGGCCTTTTTTGGAAGGCCAAACAAAGTAGTTTCGCTTTCACAACGAAACGCACAGCGGCTTGAGCGAGCGGCGCCTGGTGGATTCGACAAAAGAGGCTTGGGGCAACCACATGTGACGACCCCGGGCTGGACTCCGCTTCGTCCACGGTGAAAGCCGATCCGGCAATTGACAGGGCAAAGTTGATGTTTTTCCTCAGCGACCAGCACGGATCAGCTCTAGGCATGACGAAGCGGATATCGTCCTCTTTTGGAAGGACAAAGTAATTTCGCTTTCACAACGAAACAGCACCTTCACGACATGGCGGCGGCAACAACAAAACTACAGCGAGAATAAAAGTTACGCCTTCTTTCTTTGCGTGAACATTTGGGCGGCGTTATGCAAATCTTCCCAGATAGTGACGTAGACATGTGGGGGCGTGTTTAAACGAGGCATTTTAGGAGGGCATGGACAAGTCTTAACTTTTATTAAGAATATCTCTTTGGATTTGAGACTTTAGTCTTTGCAACGCTACAGATCTTCTTTATGCACCAAGAGCTTGCAACACTCCAAAGAAAAAGGAAAAATTTAAATCGCATCATATGACCCCTTTAAGTGTTATTGTGTGTTATTCTGTACCTTGTGGTTCATAATCTTGCCATACGTTTCCACCAGGGACTCGGCATAGAAAGGAGTTTCCCCATACAGCATCTCATACATGCAGACGCCCAGTGACCACCAGTCACATTCCGGGCCATATTTCCCTTTCCCGTCCTCCATGGCCTGCAGGATCTCAGGAGAGATGTAGTCTGGGGTGCCCACAGCGACGGAGGACTGCACCTGTGAGGAAAGAAAATGGACATTAGAGGAAAGGCTACATATATTGCACACAAAACTGGAACACATTGTTAATCTAACAAGCTATAATCAGATTTTTTAATTTACACTGTCAGCAGTAAGGGCGTATATATTTGATCAATTCTTCTTTGGAAATAAAGTCGAGTTTACAAGTCACTGGCAGGCACAACACACTTTTTAGGAATTCTATATATTAGGGTAACCATACATCTAATGGTTTATGTCTAAACTGCCTAAAATGTGCAGGTTTTGGCTTTGTTTTCCTATTCACATGCTCTCTATAGTCCACATACACACTTGTTTTCACAAACAAGGCTTAAGCCTAGTCTTAGACTAAAATGTAAATCTGAGCTGTTTCAGCTGAAATAAACTTGCACTGACTGATCTTCAAACATGTCAGTGCCTTTGCTTTGTCTTAGGATGCACACCAGTAATGCTTTTTTCTAAGGCATGTTTATAAAAATTACTTCAATGTCCTGATTGAACTATGGCCTAATCCTGGTTTAGGCTAAGCCCCGTCTATGAAACCGGGCCTATATGTCTTCGTATCTGCATTGCTTTTTGCATCATTATCTGTAAATTCCACCTTTTTGCACGCCATGATTGGTCGATTATGTACAATGCCGGCATGCTATTGGTCGAACTACTTTTCAGTCATAACCTTATGACACCAAGTATAATATATAATTATGCAGTATTTCCTGCGTTGTTCTCTAATTAATGTCTTTAAAAGTCTGTACTAACAGACTTTTTAACTGTCATTTTCTGCTCTTTTTCATGTATATTCTGTACAAATCCTCACAGAGGCTTTATATAAGAAAAAGTCACCTTTTTTCACAGAGATTTGCATTGTATTTATTTATTTTTTGTCATTTAGTCAAGTGTCTGGCTAGTGGCTACCTTTTAAAGGTCTGTCTAGTTAAACTAGTCTTTAAACTGTAATACTTTTCAGATCAAACAAAAAAGTTTTATATTGTCAAATCAACTGATAATGATTTTTTATTTTTTCAGTGCAATTCATTTTGGTGAATCTCACAAACCTGTTAAGAACATGTACAGGTTACATTACACACACAAAAAGTAGAAAAAGAAAATCTGATATTTTGCTTAAATTAAATCGTTATGTACAGGATTTCGGGGGGGTGGGGAAACGGGGGACGGGACTAACATTTTTCCCATTTTAGTTTTGTCATGAAATGTGAACAGATGTGTTCCTGACAGGTTTCGTGAGATTTATCTATTTACTGTGGCGTTTGTTATTAAGACTGCAGGAGAATTCAGGACCTGGCATGTTGAGAACAGAAACAGAGGTGTTCGGTGTCTGTCTGAGCGGATCAGATCAGATCACATCACATCCTGTCAGTGAACAAGGTTGCAATACAAAGTAATGCCTGGAAATGCTTTTTATTGGCACAACACTCATAACTATAAAATGCAAATGAACAACTCAAGCCATCGCATTGGTTGCAGCCAGCAGATGTGGGCGGGGCTTAGGGGAACATGACGGTCAAAGTATTCAGATACACAAAGACCTCTCAGAACACAGACCGCACTGAGAGAGAAAAAGAGAGAGAGGTATCACTAGAGACCACTAATGAACGGGGAGATGATTGGAGCTTCCTGGCCAGGGTTCAAGGTGGATGAGCGGGCGGAAACCGTCTGTAATGCAGCCCGTGGCAGATGTGCGCAGCTGGAAGAATTTGTGGAAGTGAGGCAGTAAATTAGCTGCTCTCGCTGGCAGTGACACACACTTGAAAACACATGAACATGTGAAGAGAGTTAGGCACACACGTGCGAACACGCAGAGACCACACTCACGCTGCTCTTGTCAGAAGTCGGGGGGATATCCTGCCGAGCTATCTGCGACGTCCCAGAAAACAGCAGCACATTTCAGATGAAATACTCACCCCTGCTTCAAAGATGTGTGAAATACAACTCTGATCATAAACTGCCTTTCAAACCAAGGGTGTCCTCTGGGTCTCCCATTATTTTATATTAAAACAGTGTGCCTACAGGATAGAGCTGGAGCCCAAATTCATCCATAGATTTTTATATATTAATATTTTTATCTGGCACTTTAATGTCCAAGCGCTTCCACTAGGTGAAAGGTGAAATATGTCAGGTGACCTAAAACTCCTTCTGTAGCATTTTTGATTAATTGTGTAGTAGTAGTCAACATACACTGAAACTATGAGCACTGGCTTCATTTTCAAAGTACCGACTGATACACAATTTTTTTTTATCTCATGCTCACAAACGCTGCATTCATTTTAATAAAAAAAAAACAGTAAAAACAGTAATATTGTGGAATACATTTTAAAATGTAATTTATTGCTGAGATGCAAAGCTGCAATTTCAGCATCATTACACCCGTCTTCAGTGTCACACGATCATTCAGAAATCATTCTAATATGCTGATTTGCTGCTCAAGAAACATTTCTTTTCTTATTATTATCATTGTTGAAAACAGTTGGGCTGCTTAATATTTTTGTGGAAACCATGATAAATAGAAACAGAATTAACAGAAAGATGAAAAACTTCTTTATTGTCACTTTTGTTTTCAAAAAAAAAAAAAAAAAACTGTAGTGTAATTGAGCCAAATATTTTTTGGACAGGAAGTGAACTAAATCATGGGAAACAACCAGATCTGAAACTGACCCCAAAAAGTATTTGGAAACTTGCATCACACTTAAAAAAAATGTATGAATGTCATTGCTTCAGGAACCATGAATACCTCATGCATTCTTTTCATTAATTTTCTCGGTAGTAATAATTAAAAACAAACTCTTCAGTAATGAGCTCTTAGGGACCAATTCAACCAATTTCTCAGATGAATCACAACATTACAAACTCTGACTTGAAATCTCAAAAATTATAGAAAAATTAGGAAAAATAAGATTAAGATAAATGACTGTGGAGGAATGAACTACAATTCCATCAAAATACTGCAATGTTGCCAATCGTTTCATAAAAAAAGACTTGCATTTACACATTTCTGTCGTTAAAGCTTTAAAGTCAAGTTGTAAGGTTTGTCTGATCCATTCCAGTATAAATAAGGAGACCCAGTTCACACTATCAGCTTTAAACAACAATCCCTAATGACTGTTTTCTTCTTCTGTGAAATATGATCATTAATAATCTGCTGTGATATTCATAAAACTAACATACTAACCGTTCCATCCTCCGTGAGTTTAAGACAGGAGCCAAAATCTGCCAGTCGAATGTGTCCGTTCACATCCAGCAGAATGTTATCTGGCTTGATGTCTCTGTCAGAGAGAAAACAGAAAGACACATTAATACAAAAAAAAAATTTATGTTAACATCATATGGATTTGGAAGAAGTTGTTAAAAGCTTCCAAGGTTGATTCGAATCCCAGGTAACACTCACACTGATTACTTTGAATGCAATGTTAGCTGCTTTGGATAAAAGTGTCTGCAAAATGCATTAACATAATTGTGAATATTGCTGTTATTTAATCGGTTTACATGGAGCAAGGCATGTTACGGCTTGCTGCTTCATTTTACAACCTTAGAGCCACTTCAAGTCCAGTGTGCATTTTAGAGAGCTTCTTAATGAGACAGAGCAGTAATTCACAGTGGACTTCACAGTGAGCACTTGTGTCCGCCCTGTAAATCACCTCTATTCCTGAGAGAGAGCCACATAGGAAACACATAGGCTTTGTGTCACAGAAAGCCTCCATCCATTCCGCGAAACCCTGGCTCTCATAAGAGGAAGTCAAAACACAGGTCAGAGATCTGAGCCTGTCATTTGGAGGGCTGGATTAGACTTAATAGCATTTGAGAGGTGTTCGCTGCCCCGTCTGTGACCTGCCTATGGGGCGCTAGAAGCACAAACAAACAGGAATCAAAGTGTCACAAGTTCATGTCTCCATTACAGCTTATCTAAAGCTGTGTGTCAGAGAACACGCTCACGGCGAGAACGAAACACAGACGGTTCTTATTCTCCTTTACGCTCTCACTCATTCACCCCTCGTAAATGTGATCCAGGAGTTTGACGTGGAGCTGTAATAAAGACGGAGAGAATGTTTGCGTGTGCCTTGTATAGACATGAATTATGACGGCGCTCTTGAGGTGAGTTTCCTTCAATATCTCACCCAAAAGGCTGCGGAATCCTGTAACAGTGTTCAATGGGCAGCCAGCCATAGCAAAAAGCTCTATTGAGAATTATACTGAAAACAAGGTTGCAAAGAGCTGAATGGAAACTTAATACTGAGGTATAGAAAAAATAGATCATATTCCACATTTTTGTAGAAGTTTTATATTCCTGAAGTTTAAGAAATAAGTCTGTGTACACTGAATACAAAACGCTATAGGAATAGAAACCAAGCAATCAACAAAACGTCCTGTCGCTTATGGCGGTTTGGCAACAAGTTAAAAAAAAAACTCATGATATTTACATGAAAGTAAGCACACTGTGTCTGGACGTTTTAAATTTAGCAAAAGTTCACAAAAAGCACCTTTCAATTTTTCCACTGACCATTTTCCAACCTCTTTTAGACATTTAGGATTAAACAGTATGCTTTCTCTACAGCATCTTTAGACTATTAATGTAAGAAACTGACACTTTTATTCAACAATGATGCATTAAATCAATAAAAAATGACAGTGAAGACCTTCATATTGTAACAAAAGATGTATATTTCAAATAAATGCTGTTCTGTTGAACTCTTTGTTTTGAACACTTTTTTTCATCAAAGAATACTAAATATAAAATGGTTTCCATAAAAAATATTAAGCAGCACAAATGTTTTCAACATTGATAATAATAAGAAATGTTTCTTGCGCAGCAAATCAGCATATTAGAATGATTTCTGAAGGATCATGTGACACTGAAGACTGGAGTAATGATGCTGAAAATTCAGCTTTTCATCACAGGAATAAATTACATTTTAAATTATATTCAAATAGAAACCGGTTACATTAATGTAATAATATTTTACTGTTTTTTACTGTATTTTTGATTAAATAAATGCAACCTTGGTGAGCAGAAGAGATTTTAAAAAACTTAAAGACCCCAAACTTTTCTATATTATGATCTTTACACATGCACAAAGACTTTGTATAAAGTGATTGAAGTCATAGTACTACTGATATTTTCTTGTCCTTTCTAGCTCCTGCTTTTATTGTATGTTGAAAAAATGCAGCATGAAAAAGTCACATGAGCTTAAAGAGTTAGTTCACCCAAAAATGAAAATTCTGTCAATAATTACTCACTCTCATGTTGTTCGAAACCCGTAAGACCTTCGTTCATCTTCGGAACACTATTTAAGATATTTTTGATGAAATCTGAGGACTCTCTGACCCTCCCATAGACAGCAAGGTAACTACCACGTTCAAGGTCCAGAAAAGTACAGAGATGATCGACAAAGTAGTCCGTGTGCCATCAGTGGTTCAACTGTAAAGTTACGAAGCCAAGAGAATACTTTTTGCGCAAAGAAAACAAAAATACTTGTCGACGCGCTTTCATGACAGTACCATGACGCGAGCGTGTGGCGGCGCTGACCCAGATCCAGCGTAATGACGTCATCACGCCGGATCTGGGTCAGCGCCGGCGCCGACACACACTCATGTCATGGTATTGTCGTGAACACGCGTCCACAAGTGACGCAGTAGAGACGAAAATGTGGAATAAAGTCGTTATTTCTGTTTTCTTTGCACAAAAAAAGTATTCTCGTAGCTTCGTAACTTTACAGTTGAACCACTGATGTCACACGGACTACTTTGTCGATCATCTCTGTACTTTTCTGGACCTTGAACGTGGTAGTTACCTTGCTGTCTATGGGAGGGTCAGAGAGCCCTCAGATTTCATCAAAAATATCTTAAATTGTGTTCCGAAGATGAACGAAGGTCTTACGGGTTTACGAACAACATGAGGGTGAGTAATTAATGACAGAATTTTCATTTTTGGGTGAACTAACCCTTTAAGTAAACAATGGCATTTTTCATTTTTTGGTAAACTATTGCTTTAATGTGCTCATGAGAGTGACATCATATACATGACGATCTCTGAATGCCTCATTTTTGCAGTTTAGTTACAATAAATGTTCTGGTGGAACTGGGGCTGTGAACTATGGAGTTTTTCATATTAAACAAAGCAGCCTTTTCCATGAAATGTCCCCTTCAAAACACTCCTGCTGCGACTCCATTTGAGAGCTGAGGAATGAAAACAAAGAGTACTTTCGTGGTCTACTACAATTTATAGTCATAACTGGGGATTCTTCCAAAAAACTCAGCACAGGAAGCCTGGAGAGTCATGGAGACTTCCTCACAGGGAACTTCTCTGGGCACATTAAAGAGTCTGTACAAGCTGTACGAAACGTTAATACGGCAGCGGAAACTTAACATCTGTCCCAGATGAGGACCTGTGTGGATTTGGCCCATGTGTGGGTGCGGGCACGACACTGGTTTGGATTGCTGCATTAGAGGCCGTGTTTATTTGTTCCGCCCCTCTCCGGCTGCTTTCCCTCCATGTTTACATAGAGGCAGAGCTACTGTGAAGGGAGGCTGCCTCAGGAGTACAGGCAGAACCGTTCACATGCAAACCAGCCCAACTGACTAACGTGACTCATCTTGTGCTTGAGTTCCGGGTCTCCTGGAGTCTGTTCTGGGATCAGTGGAAAACAGTGATGATACTTCAAAATACAGTTTCACTTCTAACAATCAAAATTAGAACGAATGAAAAACAAATGCACATCTAAAAATCAACGTTTGTATACAAGACTATTCTTTAAAAAAAAAAAACGACTGCAAATTGCTTTCTGCAAATTTCTGCTTCAGTAAAACATGAAAAAATAGGACAATGTAATACATTTCAATCGCAATTGTACTTCATATTCAAGACAGGAAAGATTACGATTGTTAACTGAAAACTACTAAAAATCACTGCTGAAATAAAAATTTTAATTAAATTCATTTAATAAAAAATGAACTTAAAACAACTTTAAAAAAAAACTTAACTGCAAATTAGAAATGCTGTCTTGGCAGCTAACTGAAATAAGATTAAAACTTACTAAAACTAAAAATGAAAGCTAAATAGAAGAATTAAAATAATACTCAATACTCTGAATTGTACTTCATTTCATAGGTATGACCAATGCCAATTACCTTTAGGTTTTAGGGTCTGAAAACAGTGTTACTATTAACTAGTGTTAATTTTGTCAGCTATTTTCATTTTAGTCTTAGTCCCGTGTTAAAATGTCCTTGTTAGTTTTATCATATTTAGTCAACCTTATCCTATTTAGTTTTAGTCGACTAAAAGTCTCAACATTTTAGTCTAGTTTTAGTCAATGAAAACTTGACATTTTAGCAATAAGATTATTATTAATTAACCGTACAGTATTAATTTTGGCAGTCATTTTTTATTTAGTCTTACTCAAATGTACATTTTAGTTTTCATATTTAGACAACCTTGTCCTGTTTTTGTTTAGTGAAGTTTAAGTCAATGAAATATATGAGCATTTTAGTCAAGTTTTAGTCAATGAAATCTTAGTCATATTTTCGTCATTCTGTATAATGGTTCAACTGATAAAAAATATTTTTTCTCAATTATAATCGTAATGATTGTTGTCATTTGAGAAATTCACTTTTGCATTTCAGGTATTGCACTTTCAACCAGTAAGCACAAATCAATAGAATGGGGACACATACATCATTCTGTATAATGGTTAAACTGATAAAAAATATTTTTTCTCAATTATAATCGTAATGATTGTTGTCATTTGAGAAATTCACTTTTGCATTTCAGGTATTGCACTTTCAACCAGTAAGCACAAATCAATAGAATGGGGACACATACATGGTTTATTTTACCTCATCTACTGTACTGATTTATTATAGGCTTTTTATTATGTAATTTAATACCAAAGACTTATGCAATCTCTCTGTCTACATTATGAAAACAGCTAAAACAAATGAAAAATATTATAACAGTGAAATTCCTAGTAATTTCAAATGGCAATACTCTATTTCTCTATTAAAACAACAGCGGTTGAGTAAGTGCATTTATTCAGCGATCACAATCGCAAACAATACAGTCGAGATCTCATGACAGAACACAGACAAGGCTGAATGACGCTTTCATTTAGATCACTAAACTCCAGCTTGTTTGTTTGTTTTCAGATCATCGGCGGCGGCGCTTCCGCAATGAGGAGCGAGCGCATGGTTGCCAGATTGCTTAAAATAAGCAAAACAAACCGGGCAGAAAATGTATCAATGTAACTGGGGATGCACAATATATCGGCCACCA